AGGAAGAAAACTTAAATATTTTTGTGGACCAAATTTTAGATTGGGATCCATGTAATCTAAGTTTGGCATTCATAAACACTAAAATAAAAAAAAAAGAGTAACAGCTTCAAAGAAGCTTCCAGCATGACCTTATAATTCATTTTGGGGTCTGGCTGCAGCACAGCCGCCTTCCTTCAGCGAGGGGGTCCGTTTGGAATGACCGTTGTCATTAACATGAGGACAAGTTACTTGTCCAAAGCACTGTCCTGTCGGCCTTGGGGCAGGCCAGCCCACATAAGAGCAGTACAAAACAATCCTCAGTGCCAGGGAGTTCTGGAGAAAGACAAAGGGAAGGAGGCCTGTTCCCAGCAAAGGTTGATTACCGTGGAGAGCACAGTTCCACGGGCGCCGAAGGGGACAGAAGCTTGGGACCTCCGCACAAGCAAGTCCGTCACTTTCTATCCTTCCCCAGACCCCCAGGGAACACAGCAAAGTGAGACCAGCCCCTCAGGTTCACCCAGGCGCTCAGCCAAGTGCCCATCGGTGGGGCGCGCACTGGGGCTTCTTGCAGAGACCGTGGGAATCCTTCAGGAAACCAAGCGGCTCGTCGGAACATCCATGTGACTCATGCCACGGAATCCTGTCTGGAAAAATGTCTGGCGGGTCATTTCCTCTGAGGTTCAACCCACAGGAGAACCCAGAGGAAATGGTGATGGAGAAGAGATGGGCTGGACTGGAGGCAGGACTTCCAACCAGTTAGATCCGGCTCGATCCCCTGCTGAGGCCTTGCCTTCCCACCCCAGACAGACTGAGTCAGACTCTTCACTTTAAGATCCCTAGATGATTCTTAGGCAGACGTGTGTGTGTGTGTGTGTGTGTGTGTGTGTGTGTGTGTGTGAGAGAGAGAGAGAGAGAGAGAGAGAGGTGTGAGTTAGCAAACAAGAACAAAAGAGAAAGCACGTGCATGAGACAGAGAACCACCTGTGGAATCTTGAAGAATTCTTTTTTTTTTGGTGAGAAAAATTCATATTTAGAATTAGCCCGCTGGACTCAGTTTAGATGATCCCAATTTTGTTGGCAACATCCACAGCATCATAATCAGGAGCAAGTCGAACACAGGCCTTCTTCTCTCCATCAGGCCTGATCAAAGTGTTGACCTTAGCCACATCAATGTCACAGAGCTTCTTAACAGCTTGTTTAATTTGGTGCTTGTTGGCCTTGACATCCACTGTGAACACAAGCGTGTTGTTATCGTCTATCTTCTTCATGGCTGACTCAGTGGTCAGGGGAAATTTGATGATGGCATAGTGGTCAAGCTTGTTTCTCCTGGGGGCGCTCTTCTGGGGGTATTTGGGCTGCCGTCGGAGTCTCAGCGTCTTAGGCTGCCGGAAGGTGGGTGACGTGCGGATCTTCTTTTTTTTTTTTGGCTGTGGATGCCCTTCAGGATGCCTTCTTGGCCTTTAATGCCTTTGCCTTGACTTCAGTTTGGGGAGGGGCAGGGACTTCCTTCTTGGCTTCTTTGTAGAAAGGCGGAATCTTGAAGAATTCTTATGCATACATGAGTGATTGGAAATTTTTATGCATAGGAACCCATACTCATAATCTGCATCTTCACATGTGTGCCTTTGAGCTGTGGTGTTGGGAGCAGCACTGGATATGCCACAGACTGACTGCCAAAAGAACAGATGTGTCTCGGAGAAGGTGCAGCCAGAATGTCCTTAGAGGCAAGGATAGGAGGCTTCGTCTCACATGTTTTGGGAGAGACGATTCTTTGGAGAGAGACAGCATGCTTGGAAAGGTGGAGGGTCAGCTGACCAGAGAAAGACCCTCAATGAGATGGACTGAAAAGTCACTGCAGTAATGGGCTCTAGTGTGTCAGAGAAGATGAGCACAGCACAGGATATGACAGGGTCATAGGGTCACTCTGAGTGGTATTCGACTCAAAAGCCACTAACAAATTCTTACATGTACCAGCAGTCACGAGGGACCCTGTTAAAACAGACATTCGGATTCCATCTTGGGGGCAGAACTGCTCATTCTCAGCATAGGCTTGAACCGGGATGAGCTGTCTGAAGCCCGAATTTGAACTCAGGACTCAGGGCAGGATCCCCCCCAAGTCCCGACCACTCCGCATTGAGTCGCATCTTCCATCCAGGAAGCCACTGGCCATTCGCTGTGCCCACTCCCCAGTGCTGCCGCCTCACCTTGATGTATGCCCAGGAAATGGGCAGGATGGAGCTGGAGCCCCAGGGGGCTGCACTCACGGTGCCCACCGGCTGCGCAGATGCATCCAGCGTAGCTGCCGTGACAGGGTGGCTGGGCAGGAAGGGGATAAGGTGCTTCTTCCTGTGTTGAAAGGAGAGATTTGAAAGATGTAAAAGGGTCCAGTTCAACCAGGATGGCATGTGCTGGGCTGTCTAGGGAAGCTCTATTCTGAGCTGGGAACCGACAGCAGCGCGGACCTGACACCTCTGAAGAGCAGAATTGTCACCCTCACCTCCGAGTCCTGCCTCGTTCTTTGTGGTGTGCTGTCATGTTGGAAATCACTCACAGCTGACCCTCCACAGGGTTTCCAAAGGCTAGACATTGATGTGAGGAGACTGCCCATCTTTCCCCGAGGGAAAGCCTTTAGGCTGACAATACAACTCATCACTCACTAGGCCACCAGAGCTCCCTACAGTGTCACTGTTGTTGATGTTGTTGACTTCCTTCAAGTCAAGCACAACTCATAGCAACCCTGTGAACAAAAGGCCTGAAAGCCTCTCTACAACTATTGATATTTATCAAAGTTCATAACATTTCCAGAGGCATGTAGTTTAGGAAGTGGATGCCACTCCTGCTTCCGAACAGAGTCATTAGTAGTGTTTTTATCTACATTAATCACTCCTCTCTATCTGGCCCCACCTCCTCTCCATCTGGCCCCGCCTCCTCCCCATCTGGCCCCACCTCTTCTTCCTCACAGCCACACCTCCTGTCTGGCGCTGCCCTATATCCAATTGGTTCCACTTTCTTTCCATCTGGTCCCACCTCCTTTCCATCTGGTTCTGCCTCCTCTCCATCATAACTCAGCCTCCTTTTCATTTGATCCTCCTCTATCGTGGCCCCACTTCCCTTTCACCCTTATCCCATAGCCAAGGCTGTAATCTTTAAGGAAACACATGTTTCTCCTATGGTTTGAACTGATGACCCTTCAGTTAGGAGTTGGAGCCCTAAACCTGCACCACCAGAGCTCCTAAGATCCGTCTGTGTGACTATCAGTAGTCACGTATCCACAGGTATCCACGAGGACTCAGTAAGACCAACCAAGCTCCATGGCAGATGCAATCAATTCAGGCTTCCCTCTGACCTAACAGACAAGCACCCCTCCCACTGTGCCAGCCTACCTCCCCGAGGCTCACTCCACAGTAAGGCAGCCTTGACCCATAAGACCTTGATGGGGACTGTGCAGACCTTCTTCCCTTTCCACCCCCAAAGCTGCCCAAGCCCACTGCCCAGCACTCACACTCCAATGGGCCCCATGCCCGGGCCACCTCCTCCGTGGGGAATACAGAAGGTCTTGTGAAGGTTTAAATGTGAGACATCAGACCCAAAGTCTCCAGGACGACAAAGTCCCACCTGCCACAAAGGACAAATGAAATGACAAAGTCAGGAGTGCTGAAGGGTAATGTGCAAGCCCCCTGCCACATCTCCAAGAAACAGAAGACAAGGAGGCCAATCACAACAGAACCATGTCTCTGATATTCCAAAAGTGTCCTCAATACTGGCCAAGGTCAGTCGTCTAAACTTGGCATCCCACACTCAGAATGTCTTTTGGTTTCTATATATAGAAACAACAAGTGACCCTATAGACTCATTTAGATTTAAAAATCTAGCTTTGATATACAGTTCACTCCTACTTATCCTCCTAAGAGGGAGGAGAGGCAGAGCCCATCACTCAAAGAAGGGCCTCTGGGCTACTGATCCAGGTATCTGGTCCCCTGCAGTTCTGCCTGTGCTGCATATGCACATGCGGTACAAGAGGGAACAGCCTGAGGGCACCCCGCAGGGAGGACTAGGGGGCCACCAGAGGGGAAATGAATGGAGGGAGGCTGAGAATTCTCCAGAGATGATCCAGACGCCATCACCCCAGCTAGTATTTCTGCCACATGGGTACTCAGAATAAATATGGATCGCAATGGATGCAAAGGCTAATGTTTGGACCACGTTTCTAAGAGCAGCAAAGGCAGTCATCTTGAGAGTGAGAGTTAAAGAACCCAAGTGGTTGATAAGATCCTCAAAGAACATATGACATTCCTTCCTCCTGTGACGCCCCCCCATTTCCTCACGGTAGTAACTACAGAGACCCACTATGTCCTCAGGAGTGTGCCCTTGGGGGTACAACGATTCAGCTATGTCATCACTGATGACACTGAAGCCAGTTAAGGACTTGGTCCAACATATCCATCGGGGTCCAGAACTTGGTAGCCAATCCTCCAGGGGGTTCCCGCTGCCTTACAACTCTGCCCATGGAATCAAGTTCACCTTCTACTTCCATCCAACTCTTATCTCTCCTCTTGCACATCTCCAGTCACCTCCTCTAGGACCAGTGCTCTCAGTGTGTGTTGTATGTTAATATGGCCACGATGGCCATCATGGCCACCATGAGTCTAATATAATATCATCATCCAGGGAGCTCTGGTGGCCTAGTGGCAAGAAG